GCAAAGCCGTCGGCCGCAGCGGGATGGGCTAGCCCAGGTGGCGGCGGGGGACCCATCGTTCCGAAACCGGACGAAGGGGCCCGAGGGACAGCAAGAGAGCGCGCCTTTTCCCACGCCGAGACCAGCGCGGAGGTCGGACCCTTGGGACGCGCGGAGACCCGCTGTGGAGCCACGGGCGCGTGGGACAGGGCGGCCTCGATCCCCGCAGGATCCAGCCCGAGGCGCACCGCTTCGTCGCTGAAAAGCTGAGGCACCTCGGGCCGATCGCTCCGAGCAGCCGGAGCGGAGCCCAGCGGCTCGGGTCGGCCGACCATCGTGGAGGCCGCGTGGGCTGCAAGCAAAGCGCGCATTTCGGCAGCTACTTCGGCACGAGTCATAGGAGCCCCGTCGTCCAGAGCCGCCGCAGGGGCACCAGGAGCGATCGGAGCGGGACCCGCGACCCGTGGCGGCGCGGCTGTGGCCGCGCGCTTCGCGGGCGGGCCGCGCGGCGCTCCAGCGTCCGCGGGAGATCGCGCACTTGGGGCCGTGCGTTCGGCTTCCTCGTCGGCCGCGAACCCTTCGGGCTCCTCCATCTCGTCGGCAGAGTGATAGGGAGTAGCCCGATCGGCCCCTGGGAGCGGCTCTTCCCCTGCGGTAGGCGGGGCGCCGTGCAAGCGTGCGTAACCCTCGCGAAGCACCCGAACCCCTGAAGGATGAGGCCAATAGACGCGGCCCCGCACCTCGGCGAAGGGAACGATGGCTGCGTCCTCGCCGACCTCTAGAGGGTAAAGCGACTCGAGCTCGAGCTCTGCAACCTCGATATCCACGACGAGGACGGATGCAGTAGTGGCGAGCGGCCGCGAAGCGGCCCCCTGGAGCTGGACGTCCACTAGCTGGAAAGGGCCTATCATCCCAGCAAAACCCCCCGCCTCGGCAGCCTCGAGCTCCGCCGTAGGGCGAAAGGCGCCAGGCAGGGCCAGAAGGATGCCCCCTTCTCGAGACGCGAGGGGGATAGCTGCCCAGCTGGTGTCGCCGTCGTCTAAACGCCATCGTGCGTAGCCGCGAGCCGTGGGAGCCGCGAATGGGTAGAGCTCGGGCCATAGAGGCCCTCCGCCGACTGGTGGCAGCTCGGCCATCAATGGGTGCTGCCGTGGGAGCTGCTCCCCGAATGCTGGGCGTCTGCCCGCTCGAGCGCTCGAGGCCGAGGCGGAACCCCGTAAGCCAGCGCTCGCGCCGCACGGCGGTCCTGCCCAAGGGAGGCAGGCACCGCTCCGCGCGGCCAGACGGAGGCCCTGAGTCTCCGCCACACGTGCGGGCCCAGCAGCCCGAAGCAGCAGCCTGCGCAGGCGCTGCACGCGGCCGTCACCCAAAGGAGGGCGACGACCGTGCTGAGCAGCCAGGGAGAGACCCCGCCGCTCAGATCCACCGCCAGCCCGAGGCAGACGGTGGGGCAGGCGGAACCCGCCGAAGGGAGGGGACAGTAAGCCCCCTCACCCTCGGACGAGTCCGCCTGCTGGATGGACCAGGCCGGTGCAGGAGGCCCTGGGTCCTGAAGCACAGAGACGGGGGCGGACACGAGCCGCTCGTAGAGCGCGGCCCGCAGCCCCCTGAAGAAGATCTCCCCAGCGCCTCCGAGAGCCGCTTGTGCGAGCGCCTGCATAAGGCGTCCGCACGCGCGGCCGACGGGGGGGCACTTGGGCAGAGAAGCTGCGGAGACAGCAGGAGCTTGCTCACAGAGAATAGAAGAAGCATTACTGTCCACCACAACCGGCAAATTGCCCGCGGATCTGGGCCCTTCCATCCTACGTCTCGGCTGACGATTTCCGTCTCGGCATGAGCTGACGATTTCCGTCCCGGTATGGACATGATGCCGTCTGTGTTGCAAAATGCGCGGCAAGACTGGAACGGGGCGTACATCCCGCGCGGAAGGCCGACATGTCGCTCTCGCCTCGACGCCGTGCTCATTTGTGGAAAGCTGAAATTCCGCTGGGGCGCAGCGCGCATTCTTCGCACGGCACTTCGCTGCTGCCGCACAAAAACCGCCTGAAAGCGGCGTTCCCACCTCGGCGCGGCGCATATGTTTAACGCACATTTTTTTGTTGAGGCCCCGCGCGACAGGGCGACTTGTCGTCCTCGCCCAAGCTCCGTGCGCATTTCGATCGGAAGTGGCGTTCCCACGCGGGCGTGGCGAATGGCTCACACCTGCAACAAAGCCGCGCGAGAGCGGGCCAAATGCCGACCTCGCCCAAGCGCCGCGCAGGTTGCGAGTGAAAGGGGCAGTACTGCGTCACCGCGGTGCATGCTTCGTCGTCGCCGCGCCCATCGGACACGTTGCCGCCCCCGCCTTGCCGAGGCCCGCGTGGCTTCCGTTCGCCAAGTTGTCGGAGGCGGGGCCGCGCGTGAGCGTTTTCCGTTTGCGATGTGGGAGCGCGTTCCAATATCAAGATCAAGCTGTGCCACAAGGCGGGCCCCTCTGACTCGCTCGACCTGGCTAACTTGACCACTACTCCTACTCCTGCTGCTGCTGCTGTTGCTAATGGTCCTCCTCGTCCTCCTTCGCTGCCCCCCCCTTCCTCCTGCTCATCCTCCCTACTCATACGCCACCCCCCCCCCCCCCCCCCCCCCCCGACCAACACTATGGGACAACATTGGGGGCCGCAGGCAAACCCGAAGGCACAACGACGGACGCGCCCAGGAGAGCTCCATGTGGGCTCGTCGTCAACGGTTGAGGACGAGCCCACCTGGAGCTCTCGACCCTTTTCCGAGGATTGTTGTTCCGCCGCGGGCAGCGTTCCGACGGCCACGGGCTAAGCCACTAAACCAGACTGCCACCGCCGAGCACTGCGACGAGTGTGAAGACATGGGCTCGCGGTCATCCATTCCTTATCTGCCCTCGTACCTAGTCAAGAAACTGTGCTCTTGTCTCGGGCCCACCGTGGACTCGGATCGTGAACCGCACTTCGTGTGCACAGTGGTTGGATGCACAACGTGCATTGCCTCGTTCGAAAGGTATCGCGCTAGACGCCACGCAGACGTCTGCACGATGACGGGAGTTGCTCTACGGCGTCAGCGCCACAAGGCATGGTTTACGCCGATCGTTACCCAGTCATCGTATAGCGTCCCCTGGCTACGGCCAGGAGGACGCCTGTGGGCTTGAACCACATGGCAACAGACATAGCATCATCCTCCCCTCCCCCTCTCCTTCCCGTCATCATCCCTCTCCTCTCACCTTCCTGTCTTCCTCCCCTTTGAAAAATGCGCAGCGTCCCCCTTCCGTGTTGGTGGTGCCCCTTCATGCTTGTTTTATGTTTGTCCGAGTCTCCCCAACCCGTCGCGATCAGCCAATCATGTCCAGGAGATCCTCATCAGTGGGGGGAGGACGATTGTCCTCCTCCTCGTGCATGCGGCCCTCAATGGCGCCTGGAGGTGCATTGTAAATGCGGGCCAAAAAGTCCCCCCAGCGCTCACGACTCTGCCAAAATATCAAGTCAGCATACCACTGGGTCCTATAAAGCTCAATCACGGGATGATAAGACCCCTTGTCAAGTTCCGCCCAACCTTGGGACGATCAAAGTTCACGTTGCCGCCCCCATCGTTCCCCCCCCCCCAGCCAATCGTTCGCGCGGCCTCCCCTCCGCGCCCCTAATCCAGCCCCCATCCAAGCCCCCCCCCCCCCCCCCCCCCCCCACCACACACACCCCACCCCACCCCCACCCCCCCCCCCACCCCCCCCCCCCCCCCCCCCCCCCCCCCCAAGGATTCACCATTCTAAGTTGGGCTGGGGGCGACAATGCAAGATTTTGATCGCCCCCAGCCGCCTCTCTGAGATGGTGGACTACAACCCCTGTCGACCACCACGCGAGAGTAGAGGCGACAGGCGCCCATGAAGGAGCGAAGGCGCAGCGCGATGAGGTTTGCGCCCGAGGAGGGAGGAGGGCGAGGACGACGAGTACCAAGAGGAAGAGATGAGCGAGGGGAGGTTGGGGGCCAGGGTGACGACAGGAAACGGGAAGATGGACGAGCAGGAAGACACGGATATGAGCAGGAAGAGAAGGGTGAGCCTCACAGAACCCGTCAATACGCATGCGTTCATGCCGAAGGGCCCTCTCTGCTGCGCGCTCCTCCTCGCTCATGCTCGCTCGCGCCATGGACTCCGAGGTCGGGAAAAGGCGCTGGGAGCTAGAGCCGCGCAAGGGGCTTCGACGGCCCGACCCCTGTCCTCCTCCAGTTCCTTCCTCCTGTTCCTCCTTGTCCTCCTCGCCCACCGCATCTCAGTCTTATACAGCTGGTTCATACGCACCCTACTGACCTTACTCATCCTTGGCGGCTGTTCTGGAGGAGCTGACCTGCATCGCGAGGCTTCTATCGAGACGCGGGCTATCAATCCCACTTGATCAGCAACTGGCTGCGCGACCTTCCAAGCGAAGGCCGCCAAGACTCGAAACTGCAATTGCCCATATCAGGTTCGTGTTGCACATGTTTTGATGCTGATTATATGTAATGGCGTCGCTGTTAGCCACGCGTGAATCTAGTTGGGCACCCAGCCAAGGCTGCGCAATTCACCCCATGAGCTCATGCAAAATATGAGCTGGCAGATCGCACGGTGCTGGGGCGACTGGCATGCCCCAGGCACCAGCCACGAGTGCAATGCCATCGCGTTCAACTGAAAACACTGCTGCGAGCGGAGCTCGCTCAACTCAGAAAGGCAGCACACACAGAGTCCACACCAGGCGGAAGCAGAAGGACAGAGCACGCAACAGTAAATCAGCCATCGGCCCGCACAGTGGGCTCGAAAAACGAAATGGCTGCACTCGCCAAAATTGCCACAGAACTCACCACCATTCGGTCTCTGACAGGACCCCTGGCATTCCAGCCCCAAAAGCACTGCGACGATGCCCCGAGCTCCGACCAGAACGACTCCCACTTGCTCTTCCTGTCCTTCCACTGGGCAGAACTCATCGTCGCCAAAGTAAGAAAAGTTCAAGTGCATCGATGCCTTCTGCAGGTCGTCGCTCATGGACTTAAGCGCGCTCTGGGATCATGATCGGGATGTGAAGGATGCGTTGGAAGGCGTCGCAGTCTTTGTTCTTCTGCCCTGGGAAGTAGAAGACGGGCTGGGGCAGCCACCCCCAGGGCACACGTATAATTGGCCCCTTGGGCGCGTAGATCGCGACCAAGTTCTCGGAATCCTTGATGAAGGCTTCGGCCGATTCGCCCGACAGAAACGCCTTGGCGCCCGCGAGCGCAACGCCCTGCTTCGGGATGGCCTCAGCGCTCCAGAAGATAAAGAAGACATCGTGGGCCACTGGCATGGCGAAGAATGCTGCGACCGGTAACGGACACGCAGCTGGCCCTATGCGGAGAGCATTCCGAGCCACCGTAGCCGCGAACGCCGAGAAGCCAGTGGAGCTCTCGATGGGACCGCTGTCCATAATCTCGACGTCGATCTTGCACCGCGCGCCGAGCCAGTCGGCGTTGAGCGCCATCTTATCGGCGAGCCGCTTGATCTTGAGCGTCAGGTCGCCTTCGAGGCTCTTGACCACCTCGGTGAAAAACTCGGGCGGCTGCGACCGCGCCGAGAACTTCTCGCGGTCGAAGGCGCCTTCGTCGAAGCCGACGTCCACCTGCGCATCTCCGACGGCGGCCACCAACGGAGCTGAGGACGTGGGCCCCGCCGTGCCCTCGAGCGCCCCGCTGCAGATCTTGCCCACAGCTAAAGCCCAGACCTTCGCAATCGAAGGCTCAATGAGCTCGGCAACCTTCAGCGGGAACGTTTTGCCCGCCAGCGCGGAATGAACCTGGGCAGATCGGGGGGCGCGGGGCGCGCACTGCCCTGCCCCCCCCCCCATTCCCCCCCTCTTCCCCCCCCCTCCTCCTCCACAATTACACAATATGAAAATGCTCTCCCACTTCCCCTGATGGCGCCCCGAAGATGGCCGATCCCCCCCCCCCCGCGTACTGTTTCTTTACACACAGGATTCCCGGGAAACGGGTTTTCGCCTGCGCTTTTTTTTCAAAATGCTGCTCTCGCTGAGGCGCCGGCCTCATTTCTGCTCCCGAATCGGTCCGGATCGTGCTCCCGCTGCAGCGTGGGCCTCATTTTCGGATCGGTGTTTGGCCTCCGTCGTTCAGGATGGCGTTCCTCGCCCCAGCGCGGGCCTCTTTCTCGCGCGCCCGTCCGCCCGCCACCACCGCGCCGCGCCACCGCCACCACCACCCCCACCACCACCACCACCACCACCACCACCATCACAACCACCACCAGCACCACCACCACCACCACCACCACCAACCACCACCACCACCACCACAACACCACCACCACCACCACCACCACAACCACGCACACACGCACGCACGCACGCACGCGCACCACCACCCACTACGCACGCGCGCGCTGAGCCACAGGTCCGCTACGACACGCGTCCGCGGATAGAGAAAATCAGCGCCATGGTAAGGGATGGAGGGGAGGGGTAGGACGTCAGATATGACGCGAGCGCACCGAGCTTGTCCTTCCCCCCCCCCCCCCCCGGGCCCCCCCGGTCCGAGGGGAAGTGACCCGCCAGAGAAGAGAGGCCAAAACGTCGAACCGATCAGAGGTTGAGCTCCGAGCTCAATTGGGTCGACCCCCCCCCATTCTAGGATTGAAGTCGCATGCTGGAAGTCCGCCATCTGAAGTCACATCGGGGGTGGGCGGGCCCCGAGCTTTAGAAACCTAAGCGCCCCGAGGGCTGCATTCAACCCCCGCCACTTCTCGCGCGCCCATTGCTCTCAGTTGTCATGCATCTGCTCACGCCCAAGACCCACGTTTCCTACTCCTACTTGCGCTTGCACGGGTACCCAGTGGCCCTAGTCCCCCGTCTCGTCCATCACCTGTCCCCCTTTCATTGCGCGTTCCCCTGTGGCCCGATGAGGGCCGTCACCATTATCATCTTCTTTCCTCAACCTCCTCCTCCCTCATCTTCCGCCCTTCCTTCCTTCTCCTTCCTCATCATCATCCTTCCTCCTCGGCCTCCTCCTTCCCATTCCTCCCACACTCGTCCTCACCTTCATCCTTCCGCCCTTTCCATCCTCACTCTCCTCCTTCCTCATCCTTATCCTTCCTCATCCTCCTCATCCTTCTCCGCCCTCTCCCCCTCCTGCCTCATCCGCCTCCTTCTTCCTACTTCATCCTCCTCCTTCCTCAGGCTTCCTCCCCTTCCTCATCCACCTCCTGTCTCCTCTTCCGTCTCCTCCTCCGTCCTCCCCTTCCTCATCCGCCTCCTCCTCCTACACAGCAGCCTTGACGACCTGGCGGCGGTCGCGCAAGTACGAGGCCCTCTTCTCCTCGAGGACCTGGTCGTCGATGATCTCGAGGCTCTGGAGCAGCTTGCGGCCATCGCCCATCACGGCGTTGATGTCAGTCGCCAGGGTCGCGCGCTCGACCTCCAGGGCCTCGACGATGCCTTCCTTGGCGCCCTCCACTCGCGTAGCAAACTCCTTCGCGGCCTTCTGTTTATCGGCGAGCTTCCGAATGACTTCGCCGGCGTCGAGCGGCATGTCTGGATGATCGGCGCGCTTCTTCTTGAGCGTCTCAATCCTCGTCAGAAGGGTCGACTTGCCCTGGAACTGCCCCCCCCCCCCCCATCTCCTTCGCAGTCGTGGCGAGATTCTGCTTCTTCTTGAGACGTCGGGCTCGCGCGCCCATCGGGGCGCCACCCCTCGTAGAACGCCTTCCGCGCCCACGCCCACCAGACGACGGCGCCGCCGACCTCGGAGTCGTCGAGCGACCACCTGAGCCCCTGGCGCTGGCGCGGCCAGCAAGGCTCGCCTCGTCGTCGCCAAGGCTGCGCGAGGCACCGCCCCCAGAAGCGTCATCTTCTGGAACATCAGAATACATCTCCTCCGTCTCCCTGCCGCTCTCGTTGCGGACGCCTTTTTTGTTACCCCTGATGCCATTCCCCTTCGCCCTGACCACCTGCTCGCCGTCGCTGTCGTAGCTCGGGTCCTTGTCGAACATCCTGTCGAACTCAGCGTCGCAATCCTCATCGGACATCCGCCCCCGAAGCGCGCGAAGCGCGTGCGAGTCAGCATGGGGCCCCCCTCCCCGTGCACGCGTCGTCGAAGCTGCCCTTGTACTTGACGTCGGTGACCTTCACCTTCTCCCTAGTATCATCGATCTCGGCTTTGCGCTTCTTCGTGTCGACGAGCAGCATGTGCTTCCCGAGCCACTTGCAGGGGTCCCCCTTGAAGTCCTGGACGCCGCCCGACGCCTCCGAAGTGCCTTGGGGGAGAGGGGCGACGCAAACGGCATCCAACAATTCGGGCGCTCAGGCCCAGGGCGCCCGGAACGTTGCCCGAGAACATGGAGCGAGCTCGACCCGAGAGTTTGGAGGTCCAGCCCCCCCCCCCCCCCCCAGTAGGCAATCCCACTACCAAACGCCCCCCCAGGAGAAGAAGGAGACGAGGCGAGGAACAACTTAAAGAAAGGAGGGGGGGGGGGCCTCCCAAAAGGGAAGGTGCGAAGTCGCACCCAGAGGTTCGAGGAACGTTTGGCGAGCCCTCGGCCGGCCTTGAGTAAGCCTGCGCCTGCAGCGCACTGCGTTGAGGCACTTGGCGTGCAGCTCCTCGCCGAAGTACTGATTCGCGCCCTTCTCCCCTTCTAAGGTCTCCTCGCACAAGTGGCACATGGCGTCGAGCCCCCCCTCGCATGACTTCGAAGCCGCTGCCTTCAGAGCCGAGGAGACGCCAGCAGCGCGCCGAGAAGCTGCCGAGCCTCTCTTGGACGACGGCACCACCTCATTTCCCCCGAGCACCTCCTCATCAGAGGGCGCCGATCCGACCATCGCGAGATGCCTCGACGAAGACGGGGGGGGCCAGAAGGCCGAGGCACGGGCCAAGGCGTGGCTTCAACCAGATGGCTATGGCCCCCAACAAGGAGAAGCCCACGGCATTGCAAACTGGCGGAGTCGGCTCTGCCTTGACCAGCTCTGTGAGTAAAAAGCCGTCCGTCCTCTCCCTTCTCCTCCTCCTCCTCCTCCATCCTCAGTCTCCTTCTCCTCATCCCCCTCCTCCTCCCCCCCCCTCCCCCCCATCCTCCTTCTACCAGTCCTATGTTTTCAAGTCAGCCTCATCATCATGTTCAGACTCCTCGAGGTGGCCCAGTGGGGAGTGGCGAGGTCGCACATCAAGCTTAAAGGACACTGGGGGGCTCTAGCGGCCTGAGCAGGACAATGTCTTCGAGCGAGAGCCGTTGCCGAAGAGCGGAGAGGGGCCCCAGTCTCCAAAGTGAAAGCGTTGTTGTCTCGATTTCTCACATGCAAAACTTTGGATCCACCAGGCAGGGGCATGCCTTTAGCTCACTTGTCCGCTGCCCTTCCTCGATCTCTTCTGCTCGCGCTGCCCATGGACGGGGTCCTACTCAGGCCGCCCCTTCGGGGGCCCTCATCTTCGCACCCGGCCCGCAGGGGTTCTTTTCTGTTTAACTCAGCCCTCAAGGGCTCATCCTACTCAGCCCTCAGGGGCTCATCTTCCAACTCAGCTCTCAGGGCCTCAGCCTGTTGAGAAGAGGACGAGGTTGTTATGAAGGATGATGAGGGGAAGGAGGAAGACGAGGAGGAGGAGGGGGAGGGGGGGGACGAAGAGGAGGAGGAGGAGGCAGGGGAAGACGAGAGCGCATGAATCGTAGGACTGGTGTCTGTTGCGACGATGCCGACGCGATGGCAGGATGGCGATGGGATGATCGCACCACCTCTGAACGCAAACTGCTGCCCGACACGGGCCAGAGAAGCTTAGTTCGACTGCAACCTCTGAACAACTACGTAGCCAAGTGCATGCAACGCAAGAAGTGAGAGATAGCAAAAAAAAGGCAGGATGGGCAAGTAGACAATGAGAAACAGCGAACACACAGGGACGCATTCCCTCTGCACCAAGCATGTGAGCTGCAAGGCCACTGCACGAATGCGTTTCGGCGCTATGCTTCTGCAAGCACAACGACTACCCAAAACTCCACACTCTCAGCGTGGAGCTCTGCCGCGCGAGCACCGCGAACGATTTACTGGGCATCGTCGGACTCGAGGCACTTGCGAATGCATACAAGGATCTGGGAAAGCTTCCTGCGGAGCATCTTGCTGCGCCTCTTCTCATGTTTAAGCTTGACCTTGCTCACCTTGCGCCACCTGTTCAGAATCCGAAGGCGCCTCATACGCCAATTACGCAGGCGGTGCAACTGCTTAGGAGGCATCCCGAATCCCTTAGACTGTGCGGAACAGATCCCTTGACAGGGGAAACGGGCACTCAGCAGGACTCCGAACAGCCAAAGCGGCAACGGAATGAGTACAGTAGAAGGATGAGTTGGGCAGAGCGAGATGCTTCCAGAAGTGACAAACGATTGCCAGGGCCCCAGTTATATTGATATTGCAAGGGGCCCCTTTCCCAGTTGCACAGGGCACGCTACCATTTGTTTGTAATGCCCAAGAAGCGCGACGACCTGCACCAGCACCGCAAGTCCCAAGAATCCAACGTTCAAATCGTACCAAGACTGTTCAACATAAAACCACGGAGCACAGTGAACGAAACACAATGCAATGCTTGAGGCAGTGCCAACGATGTTATGATGCAAACGACACTGTACTTGCATGTTGTTAGACGATATACACTTGTATGTTGTCGGGCGAAGTGCTGAAAAAATGATTGTTACTGCTATCTGTTTTCTGGAAGTGTCCTGCAATGAACGCTGTCTTGCGTGGTTTCACCTGGTTTCGGGCTGGTTTAAACTAGTTGTTGCGTGGTTTCAACAACGCGTGTTGGTGGTTTTAACTGGTTCTGTGTGGTCCTAACAACTTCTGTGGGTGGTTTCAACTGGTTCTGTGCGGTCTCAACTAATTTTGTGTGTGGTTTAAACTGGTGTTGTGTGGTTTTGACAACTTCTGTGGGTGGTTCAAACTGGTTTTCTGTGGTTTCAGCTGGTTTTGTGTGTGGTTTAAACCGGTTTCCGTGGGTGGCTTTAACTGGTCTTGCGTGGTTTCAACTGGTTTTGTGTGGTATAAACTGGTTCTGTGTGGTGTCAACACGGTTTCTGGCCATCGTCGTGCGCCAAAGCCGTGTGTACCTCAAACTACGGTTGGTCTGGTTTAAACTGGTTTTGCGTGGTTTCAACTGGTTGTGTGCGTGGTTTGAACTGGTTCTGCGTGGTTTTAACACACCCCCGTGGGTGGTTTCAACTGGTTTGGTGTGGTTGCAACTGGTTTTGTATGTGGTTTAAACTGGTGTTGTGTGGTTGTACTAGCTCCGTGTGCTAGGAAAACGCCATGCGGCGAGGCAGAACGGCTTATTTCTGCTAGGATGTCCAGCTCGTTTTGAGCACTTCGAGCACAGCGACATCGCTCTCGCAGCGGAGCAAGAGTAGACATTCGTTCAAGGCTCATGTGTACACTGCGCGCATAACGTGAGTCGCTGCCCCTGCGTGAGACATCGCAACGCAGCTGGCAGCGAACATATGATTTGCCCTGGCTCTGCGCAACTTGCGGCCCAGCCCGCGCGCGCGCCGTCGGGCACGATAGCAGCGCGGGCACGGGCGACCCCACTGTTGCACGGCGGTCGGCGGCACGGCCCAGAGCCAGCGCTCGCCGCCTCCGAATCCGAAAGAAGGGTGTCGACGCGGTTGGACCTGCCGAAGTCCCACGCGCATTGACGCCGCGGGCGCGCAATTGGCGGCGCGTTGGGCAAGCGAAATACGTTCACCCATGCCGCGCGCCTAAGCGCGGCCATTTGGCTGACGTGCGCTTGACAGCCCCGCGCGCGCTTCGACCGCGCGCGACTTGCAGGGCGCGCGCGGTTGGGGCACGGCGCGCGCTCGCGAAACCCGCCGCGCATCTTTACGCCGAGCTCGCGCACCGCCCAGAGACCGCCCCACCATGCTCTGATTCTGGCAAGGAAACGCAGACCTTAAACTGTCTTTTTGGCACCATAATCTGGTTTTGGCCCTGACGCGCGCCTCGTAAACTTTAAATGGCGACGTGCCTGGTGCCCTATAAAAACACACATGCTGCTGAACTCGCAAGTGTAATCTGCCACTTCCAATGCACAAGCCACCGGCTGGTGATGCGCGCTGAAACTTACGGTGTAATCTGCCGACGGCAACGGAACGCGCGGGCCCTTCCCGCGCACGACCCCACGGGCGCAGCGCTTTCTGTGCACGCATTGACGCGCGGGTTCCGTGCGCCACTCGCGCACGCGGCCAGTGGCGCGCCACCTTCGCACACATGGTGGACGCCGCCCGCGCGCACCTGGCCGCGCGCTCGCCATCGCGAGCTGCGCGACCTTTGCCCGTTGGAGAGTTGGGTTGCAAGCGCGCGCGCGTCAGAGGCCGCGGCGTTTGCTCCGCTGGAACCTCGGCACGAAAGCCATCCACGAGCCCGTAGGCACGAAACAATGGTGTCGCCCCGACGATGGCAAGGCGCGCGCGCCCGATGAACTCGCGAGCCAGTCCATGCCACGGCGCGAACTCGGGCGCGCGCGCAGACGCGCAGAGCGCTGCGGCCGTTTGACATGCAATGGCCAACCGACCGCAGCCGCGCCCATCAGATCGCACAGCCGCAGCCAGCGAAGTTGACTCGATGTCGAGCCGCCCTGCGCCAGGCATGTGGATGGAGTTGCGCAGGGCAGTTTGAATTGCTGGCGCGTCGGGCCCGCCCTTAGCGCCCCGCGGCCCAAACGGGAGCGCGCGCGCCATTCGTGGCCCGCGCGCAGATGCCCACGACGGCCGATGGCACGCACTTCGGCGACGACGTCGCAAACAGAA